CCAAATTCCTTTCAATAGTCCACGACTTGAGATGAACTTGTTGTTTGAAATCCATCTATTCCTAGCTGAGGACATTCACTTCAAATATGGGGGTGATACTTCTGAACAATCTGCTAAAAATCACTCCGCTACCAGCTGGAGGCTTCTTTGTTTTTATAAGAATCATGCATTATAAATGTACAATACTGTGCTGAAGTAACGGGTCGCAGTTGTGTACTCATGATCAAAGCATTTTTATCTGTTGAAATTACATTCACATTGAGAGAGAAGGACACTTCAGCAGCCGTGCTGTCTGTCATGTGACCTGCTCTGTGCTGCGTTGTTCTTGGACCCCTTCAGCTACCCCAGAGGAGCTGCACACTCAAAACACAAAATAGCACTTCATTTAATCCACAACTTTTACTGCAAGTTTTGCCTAAACCAAATTACAGCATGAATAAGCAAAACATAGAGTCGTTAGCAAAACATGCTAAAGACAGCCTTTCGCTTCAGCAACCATCTCTGTATAAAAACAACGTCAGGCAGAGGAAGAATTAAAGGCCGTCTAGTCAGATATGTCTTTAGAACAGTCTTTCTCAAGCTGTTTGAGATGTGCAGCTGTGCTGAATGCGATATGTCCGTGATGAGGCGGTGAACAATGCTGCGCCCCATGCTGACTTTACACCTACAATAAAATTATTTATGTTGGGCTAGTTACTGGCTGAAACAAAATGTTTTGTTTTTGCCAAAGCAACTCAAGTCTTCTTCTCCTTTATTATGTTTCTAAATTACAAATAGCCCTAAAACTTCATTCGTGCACACAATACTTGTAGCAAAGAACTTTTTTGATTTCCATGTGTTTTCCATTATTGGAAAGCTTAGTATTCATACTTTCAGAATCTGTAAATAACTCAAAAGGCCCCCAGTTGACATGTTCGTTGTTTTACTGTGACCAGTCGCATTTAAAAACAGCATCACCTTCACATTTAGAAACGTATATTTTCATTTCAGATTGCGTATACTAAGATGTTGCGTTATTGGGTGGGGAGCAATTTCAAGTTAGGTGGTCCATGAGTGTTTGAGAAACGCTGCTGTATTCAAACAACGATGCTATCAGCATTTTAGGTAACACACTTTCTGGGCATTTAAGTAACTTTCCTAACTTGTATTGGAGCAGCACATTGACGCTGATGTGCAGAAATTCCAGTACGGAAAAACTATCCATCAGTAGTAGGATACAGAATCTTCCAGGACATCATTGGTGGGTGAGTTAAGTGGAACACAATCAGAATCCAAATTCAGACCTAAGCCCTGAATTTGGAAACAGTGTTAATTATTACATAGTCACAGTATTAATTTTTATATAGCAATGGACTGAAGGTAGTCACTGAAAAATGTCTCTTCTTAAACTGATCAGGGACAAAAATTTATGAAGGAGCCTTCCACAGTTACAATCACAATACAGAAAAAAAGCACAGCTCTGCCAGGGTCACTGACTAGAAATTAGCATCAAACTTAAGCAAACTATTTTCTTTAATCAGTTCTATAAGAAACAAAAATGCAAGTAGGTAAGCATTTCATGTTGCAAACTATGTTACAACCTATATGAATAAATAAATGAATGCTGAAAAAAGTCATTGAACATGTACTTGGTTTAAATTAGCAGAATTAAATGCTAACATCTCATAAGTATAATATACTGAACCTTAAAAATGTGTTGATGTAAACATCAAGTGATTTATTTTAAATATCTGGACTTCTCAGCTAGAATGTGTCTGCATGATAAATATGGTCTGAAACTGATATTATTATCTCCTATTTCTTCTGAAATAGGTTATAAGATTTCGACTGTAAGTTATGATAACAAGCTAGCCTGGGTAGTTATTGGTCTTTCTCCACACTACTTATCTTAGCATATCAGCCAGATGAGTCAAGGGAAAACAGCAGTTCAAGATTGTGTTACTTCCTATAATTCTGGTTTGATGCGTCTTCTCTTCTTAACAGTCTTGCTCTAATAGCTAAGGAGGACGGTCCTCACTCGGAGGCCAGTCCTGTCTCGGAGGCCGGTCCTGACTCGGAGGCCGGTCCTGACTCTGAGGCCGGTCCTGACTCGGAGGCCGGTCCTGACTCGGAGGCCGGTCCTGACTCTGAGGCCGGTCCTGACTCGGAGGCCGGTCCTGACTCGGAGGCCGGTCCTGACTCAGAGGCCGGTGTTCTGTGTATCTGTGCTACCCTTAAATCCATCCTACCTTGTGGTAATGCGCATGCGCATATCGATGTTACGTCACATACTGCTTACTTAGCAGATTCCTTATACGTCCTACCTGTTACGGTAAGTTTTATTTAATTTATTTTATACCTGACTTTCATTAAGCTGCTCTATTACGTCATGTTTTTAGTTTACATGCAGCATCTTGTAAATATATTTATAAATGGCTTTAGTTTGCCGTCTGCAATTTCATTGCATTGCAGACGGCAAACTCTATTAATCGCCAAACAAGTCATTGTTTGGCGATTAATCAGGACAACATACATTGTTTTGTGGCTATTTTGTCCATATACTTTAAAATATTTTAGTTTAATTACACTCTATTAATAAACTTTGCTAAATAGATGTTGGTAGCGATACTATGTGGGACTGAAGCTGTGTAATAGCCGTGTAATATTAGTGTACATGAGTCATATCCCATCATTTCAGGTGCACAGTGATCTGCACAGTTCAGTGGACACATCGTGGCTGCGCTGCATTTAGTAAAGTCTGTCATACAACGTATTAATGTGCAAAAAAGAGTTGCGGTGATCTGTAATTGTCTGTGTTTAATTTAATTCCAATAAAACCCCGTTTCCCCTGTCTGATACTGTTTTATTCTTACAAACTCCTCTGTATTTAAAATATTTTTAAAAGGATCTAATAAAAGCATTAGTGCATACATATATAGCTTTTCATTTTAAGCAGGTAGGATATTGTGGTTTTGTTGTGTATATAAATTTTTCCAATGCTAAGCTAAGCATAACTCCTAAGCTTCCACTTCAGTCCCGTCACTCAAATAAGGTTATCCAATGTATTTAACATTAACACAACCCGCTATAGTTTTCTGGTTGTAAACATGACGGTAGGAGTTTTGGACGCATAGCACTGACAGATAGACTTAGCCATCTATTCGTGCTACAGTAGGAAAATCTGACGAGATACCACTGATAGTCAGAACACTGGTCTTGACTCGGAGGCTGGTCCTCACTCGGAGTTAGGACTGACCTCTGAGTCGTCACTAGAAAAAAAGTCTTTCTGATCTTTCATTTTGTAAATGTAAACATTTTCTTTGAAGGAATAGGATTCTCCAGGTGATGTTTGAATTTTTCCACACTAACTTTATGTCTTCCTGGGTAATCAAGAAGTCCAATTAAATGCAGTCCAGAAGCAAAGTGGAAAGCATCTCTGGCGAGGTTTTGGAAAATCCGTTCACTCGGCTCTTCTGACACCTCTGAGAGAACATCCACATTTAATTCTCCTGTTTCTCTCAAAAGTACGATCAAAACCTCATGGAGTTCTTCCAAAAATGTTTCTGACAAGATCCAGTTGGTGCGTCCGCAGATTTTTCAATCACTTTCCAAAGAAGTTATTTTTTTCCCTGTAATCCGGGGTTGTTTCACCAGGATGGACTTTGTTGGAGAACCTTGTTTTCATGTTTCTTTAAAAAAAGTGAGCTGTGAGTTTTCGTTACTCATCTGTATTAAGCTGAGCTAAAATGTCCAAATGATTTCTGTGTTAACTGACCTGAGAATTAACTGACCAGTTGGTGATGTCATGGACTCTATGACATCACAAAGTCATTCTTAACAGGACCTCATGACACAGACATCATTTAAAGTCATGCTGATATCGTTGTCAGCAGCATGGCAACTGTTGCTAGGGGTAATAATAGNAAAAAAAAAAAAAGGGGATTGTGGGAAGATTTTTATGTTTTCTGGGGGAAAACCCCCCCGCCAAAAAAAAAAAAAAAAAAAAAATCTTACCAAGTGTTTTTGGTCCAGTTTTCTAGTGCAAATGTCTTAGTACACATGAAATAAGACAAAACTAATTTACAAGTAACTTTTCTGCAAGACAGGCAAGCTCAATAATTTCTTAACGATGGAAAAAGTACATGTTCCTTCAATATTGGCAGATTATTTCACACAACTGAAATACTCTTATAAGATTTTGTTTTTTGCAGAAGGGTACACACATACACATGGAAACTGGCAGTCCAGGATGAATGCTGAACTTTAAAGTACCTGTTCAAAATTTAATATCAGCAAACCTCAACAAACTGAAGCAACGCTGAAAAGAAATATGATGAATGTACCACAAGTAGGACGAATAGTCATACAGATAAAAAAAAAACTAAACATACTTTAGCTCATAATGATGTAGTAGAATGTGGAGGGCTTACATTTTCATTTATATAAATTCAAAGCATTTCATAATGTCTTGATATGCAAAACCACTGAGATTAAATAAAATCGGTCATTGTGGCGTTTTTGCACAAAATGTGACTTGCACATTACATGTTGTATTTTTCGTGGAGCGGCAAAATCCAGTCAGCAAATCAGTGCAAAAGTTACTTAATCAATTTTGATCAGCCAGTTGCCCGTCCATCAGCACAGGACGGAGGCTTTAGTTGTTCCAGAGAGAACTAATCCTTCCCACGGAGTCTGTAGCGGCTAGCTTTGTCTAGACTAGAATTAACGCGGGGCTTTAATTAAAACGTACTTTTGCCCGGTAAAGCCCCGCAAACACAATGGCAACTTTTACATTTGACACGAGGCAAGAGATCAGCAACTCCAGTCAATCAGAGATCGAGCTGGAAACATTTCAGGAGGAGGTGGGAAGCGGAGAGGGTGAGAGTGTTGCTCGGGAAAAAAAGCTCGGCACACACACCTTCACACAGATTAGTAGAACCTGTCGAACGTTCAGGCAGCGAGTAACAAACCGTTTAGAGCCGGAAAGCTCGGCTTTTCGGCGAGAATGCTGTCGAAACGTGTTTTTTTTTTTTCTTTTTACAACAGCAAAAATGTCAAATCAAAGTCGAAGCATTTAAAACACGGCAGTTAATGATGCTTGCACGAACATCTACCTTCTACCCCCACTAATTATTTCTGCAATGCGTCGTTCTCATGTAACATTTACCAAACATTACTGGTTTTCTGAATGAGGACACACACAGGCAGACCACACACTGTGTGTCAAAGCGTGCAGCGGCACAACACAGCAACACACACACACACTTTGAGCTGGGAATCTGGCTCTGAAGATAATGCTCCATTAGCCTAGGCTGCAGAAAAGCCTGCCAGTCCTTCAAAAAAGCTGCCAGAGTTGTTTTATGCCAACTCTTATTCCAAAAGAGCACAAAAGAGAGCAAAAAAAGAAAGAAAAAAGCGCCCGCTTCCTCAAAACTCCTCCTCCTCTTAATTATCCTCATTTCACATTCATGTCCTCATAGCCGACATAGTTTTAGTACCTTGCGTACGTCAGAATAATCGTATCAGTCTGATTGGGAACATTAGGTCAGTTCAGAGGAAAAAAAGAAAAAGAAAAAGCCAACGCTCTGCCACCTCCGATGTTCATTTGTTCTGGGAACTTTTCCACATTAGCGGGTCGAAACACAGAACTGAGGGGTCCGCCGCTGCGATTACATAAACTTTTTTTGCTCTCGTCCTTACAGCATCGCGTTTGGGCAGAGACCTTTGAACCAGCGTGCAAAATGAGGCAGCACGGTGAGGAATTCACAGCCGTGTCACGCCCCTGGTTAGCGGATAAGCATTCAGCGCCATTCTCGTCATTTCACATCGGAGAACCAATGTTAGCGCGCTGGTGCTACTAGAGGAACGGGGTCAGGAGCTCAGGAAGAGCTATGGGGTTTTGTTCTACAATGGCAACAAAAGTCAAGGGGGAGGGGGGGGAAATCTCTTTTTATTGCTTTAAGCTAACTTCAGTGAGACTTTAAGCTAACTGAAGTTAGCTTAAAGCAACATGTGTGCTAAGAGTCCATGTAGATTGCCTGTCCTTTTCAGTGCAGCACAATACTGTAAACATTTTTCAAGTGTGGATACAAGCTTAAAAATTTGTATTCTCACCCCTCACGCTGTATGTTTGTCATAATTCCCGTGAGCCACTCGAATTTCAGGACATTGGTCGTTTATCAAAATGGCCGCCGTTTTTCAGCCTTTTAAAACCAGTCATTGCCATAAAATGTTACCCGTTTTCATGACTTGAATAAATTTTATGTCGCATCATATGCTTTTGACTTTGGTCATCTTGTTGATACAACTTTAAAGTAATAATACACAGCAAATCAGAAAAACTGAGATATTTACTGACAGTTGCTAAAATGTTATTGATGTAATTGTAGTGAAAAAAAAGGCTGAGTACTAATGCATGTCACAAATTTCAGGATTTTTTCTCCCCTCATTGTGGAAAAGAAAAAACTTATACATTTTGCTTCCACTTCACAACTGTAGGCAAGTTACCGTTTGCATCTTCAAATTTCACGCACAACACTGGAGGGCCAGAAGACTATTCTTTTATTTCCTATCCATAGCCGCTCTGCCTTGGTAGAACAATTCTGTTAATTAGTGACACAGCAGTGGTTCATTAGCCAATTTAAACAGCTGCTCTACTGATGATCTGTCAGAGTTGGTGTGTGTGGTTCACCTTTTTTATTTTTATTTTACTGAACTGAAACACGCTGAATTCACATCTACATGCTAAAGTAGTCAAAGTCAAGCTAACATAGCTATACTACTTCCCTGTCCCTCACTATTTTTAATTAAAACTTTTTCCTGACCTGTTAAATGTGATCCCCCTTGGACCTTGTTATCTAGTTGTCATAGTGTTGACAATTAAAACCAATGGCAGTCATTGCAGTATTTTGCACTCCAGCAGAGAGTTGGTCTTGCACACTACTTTGTGTCAGTCTATCAAATAATTCCCCATTCCCCAAAACACATTGACATCTGTGACTGTGGGACAAGTTATGGAAAGTCTTTCGTAAGGTACAGCAGGCATTACTGTTAACATCCAACAGGTTCTTACAGCATGAGGGTAGAAGGGCAGCCGGCTTAGGCAAGCAGCTGGTGATACAACGAAAACCTCATCTGCACCGAGATCAAGTTCAGTCAGACCGCTGCAGGAGAGCTCCAAGTCTGCAGTCTGGGGTGCATCGCCTTCAGCAGTGACTGCAGAAAGACAGAAAGAGAAACTATTAGACAACATAGCAGGGGCTTTGTGTCCACACAGACACACTTTCACAGCTAGGAGGAAGCTTGCGAGCCGCAGCAGCGGCTCTATGTAAAATGCTCTGCAACCTACATCAACCCAGAAGAGTTGTGTGGCTCGTCACCAAAGATAATGGCATTTAAAATAAAGTAGGAAGCTTATGAAGATGGAAAACAGCCTTTTTTTGTCAGTTGTTTCTGAACAATATTAACTGGGGCCACAATGGCGTATGTAATGAGCCTAATTCTCAATATGTTGTAATAAAAGAGAGCGAACATGCTAGCACTAAGGAGCCCGGTCCTGACTCGGCGCCCGGGGAGCCCGGTCCTGACTCGGCGCCCGGGGAGCCCGGTCCTGACTCGGCGTCCGGGGGGCCCGGTCCTGACTCGGAGCCCGGTCCTGACTCCGAGTCAGCAGAGAAAACTCAGAGGCCAAACTAAGACTGGACAAAACTCAAAGTTTTTCCACTCTCATCAAATTTTATTTGTATAGCACATTTCAGCAGCAAGGCATTTCAAAGTGCTTTACATAATGAAAATAAAAGCATGTGACAATTAATAAACAGTAAGAAAGAGAAAGAGATTTTGAAAAAAAAAAAGATTAAAAAAGATAAAAACATTAAAACCTGCACCCCTTTTAGGACTTCAGTTAAACGCCATTTAACTGGGACTCTTAACCTCTGGGACTTTTGTCAAAAACGCCGTTTGACAAGGACTCCAACCTCTAGGTTTTTAGTTGAAACGCCGTCAACTGGGTCTCTAAACCCCATAGGACTTTAGTTAAACGTCTTTTAACTGGGAGTCTTACCCACGTTTTCTACGAGTTGGGGACAGTACCCACGCCTCTCCGGGGGGGGCTTTACATAGACGGTGTGAAAGAGAAATAAAAAGAAGTTAAGAAATAGATGAAAAGTAAAGATAAAAACATTAAAAACATCGAAGACATCAAAACCCGCAATTTAGCCATAAGCAACTCTAAACAGGTGGGTTTTAAGTTGAGATTCAAAGGTTCTCAGTGTTTCAGCTGTTTTACAGTTTTCTGGAAGTTTGTTCCAAATGATGCATAGAAGCTGAATGCTGCTTCTCCTCATTTGGTTCTGTTTCTGGGGATGCAGAGCAGAGCCAGAACCAGAAGATCTGAGGGGTCTAGACGGTTGGTACAGCAATAACAGATCTTTAATGTATTATGGTGCAAAACCGTTCAGTGATTTATAAACTAACAATATTAGATTTATATAAAAAGTATTTTAAAGTCTATTCTCTGAGATACAGGGAGCCAGTGTAGGGACTTTAAAATCTTCTTAGAGGGTTCTTGAGTCTCAGCATCGTCTGAATTATCTCCACAACAGAAAGCATGTTGAATGTACTTCCAGGCCTTTCTAAGATGGTCTTGTGGAAGATTTGGACTTTTAAATTAATCGCCAAATAATTTTTTCCACCATATTTCTTCTTTCCTCTTCGGTTCCACGTTTGAAACCCGTCTCTTTCGCGTCCCTCAAAAATCATTCAGGGTCCATGCCTGCCTGAGTATAATCCTCACTCAGGCAGTTTTCATCTGAGTACAAGTCGTCACTAGGAAAAAAAAAGTCTTTCTGATCTTTCATTTTGTAAATGTAAACATTTTCTTTAAAGGAATAGGATTCTCCAGGTGATGTTTGAATTTTTCCACAATAACTTTATGTCCTCTTGGGTAATCAAGAAGTCAAATTAAATGCAGTCCAGAAGCAAAGTGGAAAGCATCTCTGGCGAGGTTTTGGAAAATCCGTTCACTCGGCTCTTCTGACACCTCTGAGAGAACATCCACATTTAATTCTCCTGTTTCTCTCAAAAGTACGATCAAAACCTCATGGAGTTCTTCAAAAAATGTTTCTGACAAGATCCAGTTGGTCCGTCCGCAGATTTTTCAATCACTTTCCAAAGAAGTTCTTTTTTTCCCTGTAATCCGGGGTTGTTTCACCAGGATGGACTTTGTTGGAGAACCTTGTTTTCATGTTTCTTTAAAAAAAGTGAGCTGTGAGTTTTCGTTACTCATCTGTATTAAGCTGAGCTAAAATGTCCAAATTATTTCTGTGTTAACTGACCTGAGAATTAACTGACCAGTTGGTGATGTCATGGACTCTATGACATCACAAAGTCATTCTTAACAGGACCCCATGACACAGACATCATTTAAAGTCATGCTGATGACGTCGTCAGCAGCATGGCAACTGTTGCTAGGGGTAATAATAGCATGCAGTGAGCATGCGCTATGAAAAACAATAGAATCTGTGGCACTAAATACATTATTCCCACAAGTCTGAACTGGAAGTGATCTGCACAGGGGGTCCAGGGAACCAGTGGCCCCTCCACTTTACCGCCCTACACATTTTTATTTGGGTTCTGTCTCCTAACAGGCATAGTAGGGCAAGTGTCAATGGGACCGCTACATTCAACCAGTTACTCAGCAAATCCACCAGTTTAACCCAGAAGGGTTTGACCAATTTCTTGTCCCATATTCAGTGCATCGGCTTGTTTTGTTGGGGGCAAAATGAATCGTAGCAAAGAAAAAAAAAAGAGTCGCAGTAATAATAATATTACTAAAGTAAAAGAAAAACGTACAGTGCTGTGAAACTACTCTAATAAATACTTTCTTCTTTTTTTTAAAAAAGTTACTCATGGGAATGTAACCAGATTTGAACATAGGCAACATCATCAGTAGCCTACAGGCTACTTGTTAACAAGCTCGAGGTGCTGTATTTTTATTAGCTAGTAATCTTTTAGCCAACATTAACTACATCCAACAGCATTTGAACTCAGTCGGTTAGTTTGGGTAAAAAACTGTGCAAAGTTCTTTGTGTTGTGCTGGTTTGCTGCCATAATTCTAATATCATTACATTTTATTTTCAGCCCCTTAATTATATTTACAACTTACATTGCTGACGGCCTATCTCATAATCTAAAAAGCTTGAAAACGTATCATTAGAAAAACAAATAACAGTGAAACTTACAAATGTCCACAAAGAGAAATAGGAAACACTCCATGAAAGACGTAAACAGGCTGCAGACAATCAATTACGATTAGCCTAGCACTTCCACAGACCACTCTAAATGAAAACACTGTAAAAGACAAAAGGCAACAAAGGTAAAAAGTTGGCAGAACTTAAAATTAGAAATAGTTTTACTGCACTTTAGCAGCGTATTTATTTAATTTGTTTATTTCATTCATTTACAGTTTAAAATGAACCCATTGTCTCATGTTGACATAAACAAATGTTTTGAATGAAAAGGTAAGTTTGAAGAAAAAAGAAACTTATAGTCAACCCCTTCTCTCAAAAGTCAATTCACTAAGCCATAAACAACTAAACATCAATCAAGCATCCATATAGATCTTTAAACACAACATAGGCAACATGTATAAATAAAGATAATAATAAAGAAAAAATATATATAATTTTTGCAACGACACAGCGCTCTACTGAATCAATACACTTCATTATTCTTTTATAGTATATTATATTTTATTATTTTCATGAAAGTACAAATTGATTTACTCTCTTTGGTGTCTTTAGACGAATTGTTCAACAACAGAAACACAGAGCTCCATTTATTTAGTTCTTACTATGTTTTTTTTATTATTTTATGTCTGATCTTCTCAAATTATAAATGCCATCTCTTTTAGTAAAACAATAGTAATATACTGCTACATATTTTGCAGACTATTATAGTACACCAAGTCGTGACCTTTCATCAATTTGACGTTGAAGGTCAGTGGATTTGTTGGATCTCTGTGACGGTTTCTGCGTATATTTTTTTCAAAAACAAAAAGAGAACTTGAACTTTGAACTATCCCACATGGAAACCGTTGCTGCACTTCTGTGATAGCGACCTTAGTGAGGTTTTGCCTCAACATTAACGCCACCGCTGTGAATTTATCGAGCCTTGGCTGTCACAGATTCAGCTGTTTAAAACATTTTGATTACTGCTCTACCTGAAGATATGGACAGGTTTAGGCAAGTACGTACAAGGACAATTTCTGCTATACCCGACTGGCATGTTCTCTTGTCTTTCTTATTTTGTGAATGGTTAAGAGAAACGGGATTATGTGTTGCATCATATTAACAGTCGCGGGAAACAGGAATTAGTTTATTATATGGGTCAGTTTAAAAAAAAAGAAGCAAAAATACAAATGAATAAATAAATGGTTCTGTTACTTTTATTCTCTAAAATTGCTGTGTTGCTAAACCTTTGGCTCAGCTGATTTTATTAAAAACAGCTGAACTTTTTTTTTTCTTTTTCTTCTTTTAATGCGAGATTAACAACAACGGAATGATTCCATTTAAGGATTATGACACATGTTTGGCAGATGTGCAGATAACCCCTGGCACTTCACAAGTGGAGTACTTGTTTGAAAGAGCAAAGAAAAGGCACCATGTAAATCAGAGAATCCATTCCCACGCAGCCAAACTGATGGATCTTCTTCCCCGCCCTGCGTGGAGGGTACACTTTAAAGTCTGAATGAGCGCAATGACTACATGAAAAGATTTATAGCCTTGATGGTGTTATTTTCATTCCTGAAATATTCCAGCCAAAAGTCTAAAAAAAAAAAAAAAAAAAAAAAAGTGGCGCGAATAAATCTAAATCAACATCCACAATAGCTTTGCTTTTGAAAGGCCCTCGGCTCGTCGTTTCGGCGCCATTACTGATGCACTCCGGCGTCATAAAGTTGAATTTAAATAAATAGCCGAGTAGAGCGTAGCTGCTCAGTCATTGAGGAATTCACATTGTGGGAATACATGGATCTGTGCAGGTGTGTCACCTCCCAACCTGCACGGGGCTGGTTGCTGTCGTTGTCCTGCTCTCCGGTCATCTCCGGACCGGCTTGATTCTCAGCCATCAGCTGGAGCTCACTGATCTCGGCGGCAACGCTCTGGATTCCCTCCGTGACCTACAACACAATGCACGCAGAGTATTCATCGTATCAATGCTTGAAACACATTGTGGGCTGTTTTAAACCCCCAAAAAAAAAAAAAAAAAAAAAACATGGAAATCTTGGAAAGCATAGCTTTACCGTGGATCTGACAATTTCCAATTTGACTGGCCAAGTTGGAAAGTAAATTTGGGCCCCCCCCCCCCCCCAATCAGTAACACACTAACCACAACACTCTTCAGTGTGGAAGTCGTTACTGAAGTACTTGGCTGTAGTTTTTACTGGGTGCTGCTTATTTTTCATTCTGCAGCAAGAATAGATCTACCTATCACTGATGTTTACAGTAATTAATGCTAAATGTGACGACAGCTTGACAGCTGACTGTTGGAGTCGACTACAACTCTGACAACTTAATGACAGAAAGGTTAGAAAGAAGTATTTTGGCCGATCGGTTTTGGCATTACAAAGTTCGGAGATTGAATATTGACCAAATTTATCCGATCGGTACACATCTCTTGTTTTGCTTTTGCTGTGCTCCACATGTTTTTACCATCAAGACAAATCAAGTTCGTAGTCTTGATTGGCTCTGCCTTGTGATTTGAGATCGTTTGTTCACACTTAGTTCATGACACGAAAAATTATGATTTTTACTAGAGGTGTGCCGATCGATCGGCTATCGATCATAATCGGCCGATTTCCNCTTTGGCCAGGATGGACTTTGTTGGACAATGTCTTTTTGACTTTTGTCCAAAAAGAGACCTTAGGCCTCACATCCATTTCCCTCTGTGGGCTTTCGTCAGTCATTTTTATTGTGGCGAGCTAAAACGTTCAAATGAATCTTGTTTGGCTGATTTGTGGTAACTGATCAGAGAATTAACTGATCAGTTGGTTATGTCATGGACTCTATGACATCATAAAGTCATCCTCAGAAGGGCCTCATGACACAGACATCATTTAAAGTCATGCTGATATCGTTGTCAGCAGCATGGCAACTGTTGCTAGGGGTAATAATAGCATGCAGTGAGCATGCGCTATGAAAAACAATAGAATCTGTGGCACTAAATACATTATTCCCACAAGTTTGAACTGGAAGTGATCTGCACAGGGGGTCCAGGGAACCAGTGGCCCCTCCACTTTACCACCCTACACATTTTTATTTGGGTTCTGTCTCCTAACAGGCATAGTAGGCAAGTGTCAATGGGACCGCTACATCCCATTGGTCAAACCGAGAAGGGTTTGACCAATTTCTAGTCCCATATTCAGTGCATCGGCTTGTTTTGTTGGGGGCAAAATGAATCGTAGCAAAGAAAAAAAAAAGTAGCGCAGTAATAATAATATTACTAAAGTAAAAGAAAAACGTACAGTGCTGTGAAACTACTCTAATAAATACTTTCTTCTTTTTTTTTAAAAAGTTACTCATGGGAATGTAACCAGATTTGAACATAGGCAACATCATCAGTAGCCTACAGGCTACTTGTTAACAAGCTCGAGGTGCTGTATTTTTATTAGCTAGTAATCTTTTAGCCAACATTAACTACATCCAACAGCATTTGAACTCAGTCGGTTAGTTTGGTTGAAAAACTGTGCAAAGTTCTTTGTGTTGTGCTGGTTTGCTGCCATAATTCTAATATCATTACATTTTATTTTCAGCCCCTTAATTCTATTTACAACTTACATTGCTGACAGCCTATCTCATAATCTAAAAAGCTTGAAAACGTATTATTAGAATAACAAATAACAGTGAAACTTACAAATGTCCAGAAAGAGAAATAGGAAACACTCCATGAAAGACGTAAACAGGCTGCAGACAATCAATTACTTTAATGACAAATTTAGAAGCATTTTTTTTGTTTTGTTTTTCTTCTGTCTAAAGTATCACAAAACTGGCAGGGATATAAGCTTTCTTTGACAAACTCAGTGTTTTCTTTTGTCGATGTGGTTGTTGAGCCAAAAAATAGTTTTATTTCTGGGACAATTAAAGAACAGATTAGTAAAACTAAGAGCGAGAAAAAAAAAAGTATTATATTGTTTTTTTACAGCGTGGGAGGAGAAGCCTACTGAAGCAACAAGTGCCGGAATCCACACAGAGCCCGCAATAAAGGCAGCTTTTCTAATCAGAAACCAGCACTCTTCATTTCTGCCTTTTCATAACATAAAATATTTTTTTCATCAGAAACACTTTAGATGACTTTATTAATTAGCAATCTTCTCTTATTCAACTCCCCCATTCTACCCTTGTCTAATTTTCTGGGCTTGAAAAAGAGCAGAGAACAAAGGGCTGCAGATGAAATGAATTGTTATCCCCCCCGCTAAACCCACAGAAACCTCTCTTGGCCATCAGATTTCCTCTACGCCACTCTGCCTGTTGCCATTGTTCTTTGACACGGTGTAATATAAATGCCACTGGCAGCGCTGATTATCAGCAAACCCCTAGAGTCCCGACTGTATTAGAGCTACATTTCATTTTCTAAATGCTAAATTTCCTTGAAAAGAAAAAAAAAAGAAAGGCCATTAAAGGTCTGTTCTGGGGGGGGAAAACCACCCTTCCTTAACCCCCCAGATAATTCAACATTTGTATAATTACAAGTTTAGAAAGACCAACCAACCATCATCATCATCATCTTCTTCTCAGAAGCGAATGCCTAAAGGAGCTCTCCTTCCCGGTGCTCGCCATGGCCCAGGTCACACAGCTGCCTGAGCTCCAGTGGGAGACTTAAGTCAAAATTTGCCAGAGTTAGACAATAAGTCAAACACGGAAGATGAGGCAGGATTAAATTAAATGAATGGAGGGGGGAAATTCTCAAAGGATGTTTTTTCCAGACGGAGATTAATGACAGAAGCAATAGGCTGTTAAGGAGGATGTCAGTGACAGTAACATGATTTGGCTCAAGTCAATGGCTTTTTGATTGTGATCTGCCAGAAGCGTATCGAAGCAGTCGTCTAACTCCTGGTTCACGTGGCAGGATTTTAATAATCTCAGCTGGTTTTCCCAAACCTGAGAAATCCCACACATGATGATAAAACGTCACCGATACATCAGGTTTGGTCGGACGGTGTGTGATGTCCAGCCACACCGCAAATGCAACTCTTTACGCACAGACATATTTCACTCAAACATTCAGATGTGATTTCAGAGTAAACAAACGCGGCGGCCTATGAAGAAGCAATGGCGATCGTTTTTAACAGAGAAAAAAACGACACACTAAGATGTCTCTGATGTCTACCGGACTTTCTGGTGAACTCTGGCAGTTGTTTTGACGTCTGTGTATTTTGGATCTATTAAAAAGCCTTAAAATACCCAAAATTCGACTACATGCAGTATTGAGTCAACATCACTTTCCAGTCCAGGCACCTTTATGCAGTATAACCTTGTAATTTGACATTCAGCAGTATTTTACCCTTTGTAAGTTCATACATTCATTCATGGAAACAGTGCAGTACACTTCTTTAGTCTTTAATATGACTAAAACTTTAATATGAGGTAGTGTTTGATGAATGTTGCATTTCATAATTTGAGAGGGCAGGTTCTGCTCTATGAAAGAAGTCCGGGGAATAAAGAGCTTCTTTTGAGCTGAAATAGAGAACATATTTGGACACCATGTTACAAAAACACATCGATTTGCTCACCTGCTCCTGAAATGAAGGGAGGATTTGGTAAGTTTGTGTTCTGTTCATATTTACCAAGTGATAACGGAGAGCTTCCAAATAAATAACAGCTTTTTTAATGTTGTCATTGTTCTTAACTGTATGTATGAAGGTTATACATTGGTGTCATGCAAATTCAATATTAAAATTGCACAGATGAAATGATGAGCAGCTATCCCACATTTCAAAGGAGTCTACTTTGTTTTTGGAAAGTAATACAGATTTACTCAAACTGAGACCTAAAAGAAAACAAAAACCTGTAAGGAGCCATATTATGTATTTTTGAGGCATTTTATAGCACAATCAAATAACCGTTAACTGCAATTGTTATAAAAATGATCTATACATCAGCTGTGACTTAAAAAAAATGTGTTCATATTTTAACACCTTGAAATTGGGTCTCTGTCCCTTTAAAAACTCCTGCTCTCTTTGAAACGTCACCTTCAGGAAGTCACCACTACTTTGCTCCTCTATTAACGATGCTGGTAATAACAAAGTAATAACACCATTTCACTGAGAAGTACCTCCTATGATGAGCTCAGGAGATGCACTATTCCACCAGATGTTTGCTCATTGCTGCTGGCTAGTCTGAAGGAGCCGAGTAGGGGAGTTGCGGGGAAGGTGTGAGGCAGAAGCTTGGAAGCTGCAGCTCTGAGGAGGAGCTTCAACATTGAAGGCGGAGCTAGGTCCACCCAGGTATTTTGCACAGTTGAATAGTTGCCAAGGGAGATTAAAGGATTTCTCAAACGTGCATGAAATAATCAAAGCAACACCCCAGGTATGTTTTAAATGAGAGAGTAACATTATAACATGATGCAAAGTTCAGAAAAGTTGATTTTACATATTGCTCCCTAATTTAATAAAACCTGTTTAGTCTTTAAAAAGTAGGAGAAACTTTTTCCTACTAGAAAGAAACTACAAAAGTAGGAGAAAGTCAAGTTTTGTTTACCAGTCTAACCCCCCAGAGGACGTTTCAAGAGAAGGAAAGCACATATGATAATGTGTGGCATTAAAAAAAGAGGAAGAAGCAAAAGGCTGACATACTTCTTAGGTCTGTAGTCAGGGATGCTCCTGTCAAGGGAGATGCGGTCGCTGAGCTGAGCGTTGTAGCCGTACTCCTCATACTTCCCCTCTGCATCGTGGCTGTCCTCCCCCAGAGTGGCAGCGGCTCCCCCCTGGCCGAGGCCTCCGGGTCCCTCCACCAGCCCCATTGGCTTCGCCAGACCTTTAAATGAACCAGAAGAACAATCATGAAGACACGGGAGGACAAGCCTCTGTGAAAACACTGAGAGATTAGCAAAAGGGGAGACAGGCGAAGTGAAAGGCCACGAGAACGAGCAGCTGACTGACATTTTGTATCAGTGAAAGGAGACCAGTGTATGGCAGCTCTGAGACCCACCAGGCCATTATTACACTGGCGGGAAAGGAGAAAAAAAATATCCCAGAGGATGCTGCTGTCAGAATAATACACAGTGGCTTTCAGAAAAGGAACAGAGGGATGTTTCAGAAATAAAGAGCAAAAAGGAGATAAAGTGGTGCTTTCAGATGGTCTGTCATTAGCAGTTCGATAAAACTGTCTCATTATTACCTTTTTGTATTTTTTGCTTAACATTTTCTTTGTTCAATTCTACTTTCTTCCACCTTTCCCCTGATCTCTCCACTCTTTCCAGCTTGGTTCTCCCTCTAACTTCGGTTTGAGTTTTCTCAGGCCCATTTCGGTGTGTTCCCATGGTAACTCAACTTTGTGTAGACTCTCTCTCTCTCAGAGTTTGTTTTTATTCCACTTTAATCATGTTTTATCTGACCTGCATGGAAGCCCTTTCCTTACTAATCAGACAATCAGACCTTGGTGTTTTTTAGTAAATTATTTCAAAATCCATGAATTATTGTTCACCCATTTCTGAAGCACAAACTATTATCTCTTTGTCTATCACCTAAACTCCAAATGAAATAAATTAAAGTTTATGGTTGTGATTAAATGTAAAAAAAAAAAAATAAATAGATGATGGGGAATAGATTCTTTGTTAGGAATTTTATTAAAACAAGATCAGCCAGCATGTTTTCTAAGGCAGCCTATGAACATTACATTAAACCTTCATGTGGAGTGAGAGTGTGCAGATGTTTGTCTTTTTTGGCATTAAAATTTAACAAAAGAAAAAGAAAACCAACAGAAATCAGCTACATGAAAGCTCCCCCCCCCTACCCACCCAGGCCGAACCCACCCTTATTCCCTTGTTCGGACCCTAAACCTCAAACAGTTTGTTACCAAACCGCGTGGCATCTTGCGTCGGCGCCAGGCCTCCGCCGTTGTTTAGCTGTTTAAAATTCAGTGAAATGGCAGGATAATGTCAGATCATTGTTATGCGAGCCGAGTTTCCAGCGCAGCCTCCGCCGAGAGAAGTCGAGTCACGTCTGTTCTCCGTATCAACAGATGGACACACAGACGAAAAACAAAAAACAAAACAAAAAAAAAAAGTAAACAGCGCACAGCAATGAAGAGCTCATCTCTCAGCTCGGGGGCCCTCTAGGAGCCACGCAGTAATCACCACGTTTGGATGGCCCCAAATCCTCGGGTGCTGCTGGAGATTTGTAATTGGAGCTGAATGGTTGCAAACCGGCTTCTCCCGTGAGAGGGATTAAGCGTGCCCCAGCGCCGGCCAATGGGTGGCATTTTGACAAGTAAGGATGGGGTTCACATCGCGGACCAGCCATCTGGCATAGCGTCGCACAATAATTCAGATAGTCTGAGGCACGTGGGGTAGAGGGAGGGCCCCTATAGAGGCTTCGTGTGAGTCTTGGAAGCCGGACAGTCCCCACCTACTTCAAGTCTCTCCTCCGCCGTCGGCTGTCTGATTGAAGGAAATTCCATAACAGCATAAGACCTGCCTGTCTGATCCACTTCAACATGGACTGGAGGACAGAAAGGGGAAGGGGGCTTTAAGATTCACAAGCATTCTTATATTGTCAGAGTACACCTGACATGTAATCAGTGCTGCGAGAGTCAGTGGGAGTGTTTTTTTTTTCTTTTTTCCTTTCTTTTATTCTTGCACAGTTCCATATTGACGTAGCTGCTGATAAAATGCTGCTTTTATGAAGCTTGGTCGGTTTGTTGAGGGAGTGAAATTGCACTGACTGGCTTTGATTTTTCTTTTATGTTTCTACCTTTATACGTTGGTTGAAATTGTTTGCAAAAAAAAAAAAATCACTTTAAATGCATAAATTCAGATACCTCACTTACTTTGCAAAATTTCTCGCCAAAGCTTGCGAACATGAATAGAAGCTCTTAATGCACATCTTGAGAGGCAGAATTTGGACACAGTTCGCCTGCGGGGAAAGCACTGCACCAACAACAACAGCAACGCTTAGGATTAAGAGCTCCTCTCCTTCCATGACTACATGAGTTAAAAATGCATGCACCCATAATGCTTTGAGGCACAAAACATCAAGCAAGTCAGCTGCTACGCTCCGAAAAAGGAAAACAGAACGGAGGGGCCCCCACAAACATTATTTTACTGTTAGAAGCACTATGCATCAGAGAAAATAAGTACTCTACTTAGCATACCAACATTTTTCACTTAACATGTATTGACATGAAATTCACACCACACCAGCTGCAGCTAAAGAATATTTCTTTAAATATTTGTTGAAACTCACTGTCGTATGTTGTATGAGACAGATAATCTTAAAAAAGAGAAACAAAATCAAGCTCCTCTGCTTTCTTACATGTAAACTAAACAGCCAATCAGAGTCAAGAGGCGGGTCTTAGCGCTCTCATGCTTATCCAGCTAGCAGAGCCTGTTGAATGCTTGAACTAGTTAGCATAGCTGCTGATTACAGTGGATAAGCAGTTTTTCTGTAAAACAGTCAAATTATTCTTTGGAATCCATAGTAATTTTAACAAGCTGACTAGGTCAGCTTGCTGACTTGCTGACATTAACACATTTAGTAGCGACTGCATGTGGTGATTGACAGCGCTAAGACCCTCCTCCTGGCTCTGATTGGTTGTTTTTTGTCGGGAGTGGAGCATTTCGTCAGATGACAATAGCAGCTCAGGAAGAAGGAGAAGAAGGAGAGAAGAAGGAGAAAAGACTCTCGTCTTTTCACAAATTATCAGTCTCATAGCAAACTGTCACACCAAAAATAATCTACTTTTTCTATAAAAGTTACATAACTTAGCTTTGATCCACTCATATACAAAAGCAAAACAAATGAGCCCATAAATAAAGTTGTGTGTAACAAAGTGAAATAAAGGTACTGAACACATTTTTTAGTTTCTGCTCTAAATCTCAACTTGAATCTCAGTTTGTTCACAACTTTAAGCAACTCATTAGCCACTGACTCCTTTTTTAATGAACAGAGGAGAAACATGGGGTGGATGAATTGGTCATTCTGCTGATTCTCCATTTTCTACCCGCTTTTAGTCATCTGTAAATTTCTAATAGTTTTTTTTCCATTTTTTCCTATAATGCTGGCTTTAGTCGTCTGGCGTGTTCACTGCTTCACGGCTACAGAGGCAGGAGTCGTACTAACAGGCTTAAATCCCTCTCAGAAATCGGAGTGTCACTCTTCAGGATGTTTTGCCAGGTTTCTAGTTCTCGTCTCTGAACCACGGCCAGCGTCTGGGCTTATGGGAAGCCTTCGTCTTTTTTCTGTTCGCCTGCCGCATAGACAAAATAACTCTTTTTGACTAAAAAGCGTCGCAAAGGCTCTTCCCAGAGTTTCTTGAAATGTTACAGCAAAAGCTCACCGCTTTAAATCTCACACGTAATCATTCAGGTGAGGGAGAGGATGAGCGTCTGTCTGGAGAGCTGCTGTGAAAGTCGGACACTTTCATAAATAGGACTTGTGTAGATGGCGATACAAATTAGTATCGTTTTTTTTTTAGGTTTTGAATATGTCACAACATCTTACGTATGGACGAATGAGTCACAAGCATTTGCTAATGTTTGGTTTTGTTAGCACAGCTGCTGATTACAGTCATTCTGAACAAACTTCCTTCCAATCATCTGAGCAGCTCTTTCATTTCATTGACTAGGTCATTTTAGAATTATGGTCCGAGTTTTCTTCTCTTGTGTAACAATACCACCTTTGTTTCATCTTCATACTGTCATCAAGAATGTCTCCGAAAATGTTTCCATTCATCCTCTCTTATTTATCAGATTCTGAAAAACATCCTCACGCCACCAAACTTCACTGTTGGTATGATTTTTCTAAGATAATCTGTAGTATCAGCTACAGATTAGCTACAGCCAATCCAGCTACAGCTAGCAGAACTTGTTGTGAATGAGTACGAATTCACAATACAGCTTCAGCTAAACAGTTTCAGCTAATACAGCTGTAGCTTCAGCTAATTCAGTGTTTAGCTAAAACAGCTACTTAAAACATGGTGTTTTGAGAAGAAAGCGCCATGTTTTCTAGTCAAACCATGATGTGTGAAAATACTAGTGTGCTTTATGGTTAATGCATTTTTTTCCTTCAGCAGTGGAGTCTTGTGCATCGGACACTCATAGGGGAGCACGTATTCACAGTTCGGTCATTTTGAGGTTATGTTCTGTTTCAGGACTGTGGTCTTGTTGATGACTATATGTCCAGGTGATCACCAAACATTTAGAAATACACCTGTAGCTGACGCTGTCAGTGTTTCGCATCATTAGGCTTTATTATACATAAATTAATTTATCGACTGCTGTGATTTGATGTCTGTGAACGTGTGAAACACTGATGTGTAAAACATAAAGACACTCTGACTCCATTCAGATGGATGAAAACGCTAATAAAAATTCCAAGTATTCACATCTTTCCAATAAGGCATTTCTTTTTTCACATTCACTGTTTCCAGTACTATTAACACACCGCACAGCTCTGACTCTTTTATCATTTCACTCTGAAGCAATTACAAGCCAACATCTGTTTGACGCTCCGTTCCCGTCTAAAGAATCAGCTGGGTGCAGATACTTTGTAAGCTGGGCACCAATTTAAATCTCATTGTGTCCGTGTACGCATCTGTCTCACTCGCAATCCATCATATGACTTAGTAAACCTCCACCGGCTTCGACTTGAAGAGGAAACTTCCAGAAAGCATTTGATTTGCCTGCATGAAAAACAAGTCTCGTTTTCAAAGATGACCCATTTTTTTAGTGAAATATTTAAGAGGAAGAGTGTTTTTTATGTATGTCCAAAGTGATGCAGCTGAGTGCTAAATATCGATGCTGAGGGGACGACAGG